TTTTTTTATAATCATGGCTGCTTTCTTCATGTCTTCAGCGCATTGTAATTAAGAGTTTCATCCACATATTTTGAGTGTTTATGTGTGCACTTTCTCAAAATATTCTTTAGAAGCTTCTGGGCTTGGCTTGATCTGTCAAGAAGAGAAAGTGTAGTTATTATATGCTATAACCAAGATTAAGAAAATACAGATTTGACATTTTTATTCAAGAAAATCCATGCATACTTTATAAAAACAATAGGTTATTCCTGTTTCTGCACTCGGTTGAAAGATGAAAGCCTCAATGACGTACAAGCTCCTACTTGCAAATGTAACACATTTTTCCTGGTAAATATCAAGCAGGGCATTAAATAAGTAAAAAATCCGAAGACAACTAGTGGACAGTGCAAACCAAATTTAGCATTTTAAATATAATTTGTGTCTTCTAAAAGAAAATCAGTGACTTTCTTCACAGAACTCACACATTCAGCATCCCACAAACAGACTAAAGTGGTCCAAGCGATAGAAGCCTCGGATTTATACAACAGTCACAGATTCAGTCAAGCACCTCATGTCAAAGTGGTTCTCAGCCCTTCAGACATGCAAAAGCATGCCAGTGGCTATTTTTAGAACAGTGATATTTAGCAGACGCTTACTGTAGGGGAGTCTGGAGTCCAGTTTGCCGGGCAAACCTCCCCATGTGTTTCCACGTACTGGAATGCTTTCACCAGGCGGAGGGTCTCTTCCACGCTACGACCGACGGGGAGATCGTTGACACTCAGATGCTTGATGATCCCGTTTGGATCAATGATGAAGAGGCCTCTGTAATTAAGCAAGAATTTAAGGAATGCAAATCATGCTCTGAGACCAAGCAGAAGAAACTGGATTAACTATTTGAGCAAGGCAGTTATTCTTAGATGTACGCATCAGAGTTAGGAGACAGCATTTGGTATATTATTTGTTAGTGAAGCGATCAAAAGGCAAGAACCAGTCAACTGGTATGGTATTGTGAAATGACAAAGTATGCTTCAAGTCTATTAAATCGAGACAGATGCGTAACAAAGGCAGAACTTCTAATTCCACCTATATTTCAAAGTTGATAGCTGGCATCCCTCACATGTCTTATTGATATGAAAATCTGGAGGTATCGAGTGAAGAGTTGCTTACACATTAAGCTACTAAATTAAATCCTGTTGCACGTGAACATTTGAGAAAACCAAAGTCCCAGTCCTACCATATTAATTAACTTAATTTGTCAACAAACATCACAAGTTCCTGATCCAAACAGACCAGGAACCGAAGGCCTCCAGAAGACTCCAACCCAATGCAGTGGATCTCAAGGACCACTTTTTGCTTTTAGTAAGTATTGCCATGGTGGAGAAGGAAATGTAATTTTTTTTTATTCTAGATAATTATGGGATTGACTCTAGTGGCCTCTAGGACTTCTGCTTCAGAAACTTCTCACACAGAAGTTAAGGCAGTCTCTTCGACCTTCAGAAGAAAGAAAACACAAAACAAAAGCGACAAACCTAAAGTGTGAAAAAATGTCAAAAATTGTAAAGTGTTCTTCTATCCTACTCTTGTTTTCCTTCGTGACATGGAGTTCTCCCACTGACTCACTCAGAACAGAACAGCTGGCTTTTCCCTGCATGCGTTCTCAACTTAATGGCCATAATGGCCACGTGCCCTTTGCTAGGGTGGGATCCAGCGGAAGTTCTGCAGAGAAAGCAGCATCTTACATCTCTGTGTGATCCTTGTGCAGCTTCCCCTGCAGGAGGGGACAGTATGGCTCACGCTGGTTTAGACTGGGCTGTGTCATAACCGAACTGTCAGCCATCACGCGTTACCTTAGTGCGATCCCAGGTCCTTCTAGCAGCACACCATAATCACGGGAGATTTGTTTTGTGAGGTCCGACAGAACTGGAATATTCATTTTGCCCAAACCACCGCTCTAGAGAAAAGAGTAAGATTCTGGTTTGTTACAAAATGCTTCTTAAGATTCTCCTTCTTGAGTCGCTGGATTCACTGCTCTCGAAGGTATACTCACAACAAAACACATTTGTGCCGTTTGCTCCATGACAGGAACCACAGGGAGGGGCAGGGAGATGTTTTTTGTTTGGTTTGTTTTGGTTGTTTGGTTTTTTTTAGGTAGTCAGGAACATTTTGATTCTTTGGAACATGAAAACTTCTTTTGCACTGAGCACTTCAGAATTGCTTATTTTTGTGGTAAAAGGCTATCTATGACAACGGTCAGAAACTTTCAGAATGATTTCCCCTGTAACCTGTGCAGGAGCTTTGAATACAAAAATTTTTACTGCATATTGAAGTGTTCAAAATTAAACAAGAAGAGCATATTTAAGTGTTTAAGGCCAGGCTGGATGGAGCTGTGAGCAACCTGGTCTGGTGGAAGATCTCCCTGCTCATGGCAGGGGGGTTGGAACCAGATGATCTTTAAGGTCCCTTCCAACCCAAACCATTCTATGTCTCTAACTCGGTGGAGAGGGAAGGGAAAGCAAACCTGCGTACTACGAACAGACAAAACACAAGGCTTCTAACAGCCACACTAGGTATGTCGAGACGTCTGCTGCTTTCTCTATTTAGTGCATGTATTATTTTTTTCCTCCCCCAAATCAATTTAAGTACTATTTGAAGAGTCAACCAAGATTTCTGTCAGTTTTGCAACATGCTGGAACTGCAAGGACGATAAGCACTGTATCCTTGACACAAGCCCGGAGTTTGTTAGCTTTTCTGTTCCTGGAATCATCAGTGAATCATTGTGTAACTTCAGCCACTCAGACCCTGATCCTGCCAACGCTTGTCTGAAACGGGGTTCTCGTCCACAGAGCTCTGAACGCCGAGGTCGGAGGAACCAAGGCCTCGGCTGCTCCGGGCACGAGGTTCCCGCCTGCACCACCCCAGAATTCTTTCCGCCCTCCGCAGGGCGTTTTACAGCGAGCGGTGCCCAGCTGGCGCTCGCTGACCAGCTTTCGCACGAAGTGGTGAAGTCAGCCCACCATCACATTTTAGAACGAAGCATGCAGAAAACCAAATACTCTCGACAGGCTCAGACAAGCCGTATTAAGCCCAGCAAACTCTCCTCCCTCCCCTGTACGTTACAAAGGCAGAGCTACGCCCCGGGCAAGTGCCCCAGCCTGCGCATGCTCCCGCGGGCTGCTGTCCACACGGGTGATGACCGACTGACGGCACAGGCGCTTCTGCACCCTCCTGTGAGCCTTCTGACACTCCACAACTAACCAAACCAGCGAGGTGCTCCACGGGAGCAACAGCACACATGCTTATACAGATGGGAAAGAGGCGTCTCCCCAGTAAAGCCCATCTTCTTCCCCTGAAGAAAGCTGCGGGCCTCCGTTTGTTCTGCAGAAGTAGAACCATTACAAGTGCTCCCATAAACTGGTTGTTCTTCCTGAAGCCACCACTGTTAGGTACTGGTTAACAATGAGGACTCAACAGCCACCGTTATTTTCTGTGAGGGTACACACAGGCCACCAGCTGTAACAAGCAGCTCAGGACAGAGATGTGTACGCCGAGTACTTCTCTTTTGAGATAAACGTGTAAGGATAGGATATAACCTACAGGACTAGCAAGAGAGCAAATCAAAAATGACAAAAAAAAATATTAAAGATCAAGAAAACAAAGGCAGAGGTCAGAATTATGTCACCAGATGTAGAAGGTAATCCCCTAATGTATCACTACAGGGATCTGCCGATTGCAACGGGTGCTTGCGCAATTCTTTATTCATCTCTTCTCCTCAGGAGCGCCTGTGAAAAGAAAGCAAACCAGCAAAGAAAACCCCGGAGAGCCGCCCAATCCATACCTTTCGTGGCGTGTTTATCCAGGCCAGATGGCAAAAATGAGAATCCACAGAAACCGCCACCACTTCGCAGTTCACATCCCGAAATTCATTTGCTTTGTTGCTGAAGGCCACAATTTCTGTGGGGCAGACGAAGGTGCTGGGCAGGAAGAGAGAGCAGGCTGTAACGATTCTGCAAACCTTTTGTTTTTTAGAAAAGACCCTCATGTCTGTTTCCAGGCTCTAATGCAGCAGGCCATTTTCTTTAGCCAGATAATTTTAACCACGTTTTGTGCTGAGGACTGGTTTCAGTCAGTCCCAAAGCAATGGCCATGCCCACCTCGCTGGCACACTGGTTTTCAGCTCCCGGTTCTAAACAGATTTTTACCGGGGGTAGAGAAACTGTCTCTGCTAGGGACTCTCTAGACAGAGAGCTTTTGGAAGCCCCAGCAGCAAGGTCTGTGGGTTACATTCTGCCCCACAGCACCAAACTTCAGCAGAACAGCCCAGGATGCCCCTGACAACTCAAGTCTTCTGGATGGGCTCAGCCCCACCTGGTCACCTTTCGCTTTGGAGCCATCTTGCTGCAGTTCTGCTGGCCCTGCTGCTTAAAAGGGGACAGTCCCCAGCACGATCCCGGACCGCATGGCAACGCCCTCACCCCCGGGATCCGACCACAAGAAGAGAAGGCTGAGAGGGGACCTAATAAATACTTATAAATATCTGAAGGGTGGGTGTCAGGAGGACGGGGCCAGACTCTTTTCAGTGGTGCCCAGCGACAGGACAAGGGGCAATGGGCACAAACTGAAGCAGAGGAAGTTCCAGCTGAACATGAGGAAGAACTTCTTCCCTCT